GGGCGACAGGGGCAGTAGCCAGTACGACTCAAATTCGTTTGCTGGGGTCGGGTGGCGTGATGCGGGTGTGATGCATGCACGTGCATGAGTTTGCACACGTGTGCGGATGTGAGTGTGGTGTGGCAAATCCTGAGGCTTCTATACAGCAGGCAGCCGCGTCTGCGAAAGGGCATCGCCCCCGCCCTGTGGTGCGCCTGAGGGTGCGCCGGCAGAAGCCGAGCGCCAGGGCGCCCCGGCCGGCGCACCTCCTGCATCAGGATGCTCCTGAGCTTGACTGTGCGCGCCTCAAACACCAGCGCGCTCTGGCGCGCCCTGGCGCGCGGTGCCGGGGGATGTTGGCGAGCGGAGGTGAGGGCGCGGAGGCCCGCGGTCGCAGGCCTTGGCAAGGGGTGCTGCATGGGGCGCATGCAGTGGCCAGGCGCAAGCTTGCCGACCATGGTGTCAACATGCATCAATATGTAACGTTGATGCATGTTGACATGATTGTGCGCACGCGCACACACACACACACACACAGATGCCCACACACAGACACAAGCGCACACACACACACACACATGCACACGCGTCACAGGCAAGGACATGCCCAAAATGAAGCGACCGCGCGCTCCCAGCCACCTGTCCGCGTCCGCCGCCAACTCCTTCTGCGCCCAGCGGCAGCGCTCCGGCGTTGCGCCCAGCTGCCCCTTCGCATCCCCAAGCTGCTCCCGCAGCCCCGCGCACTCAGCCTGACGCGCGGCGGCCGGCGTCGCGACGCGACGCGCCGTAAGCAGAGCGCGGCGACGAGGCGCCCCTAGGCGTGTGCGCACGAGCTGTCACGTGCGAGGCCTCGGCGAGGCGCTTGCCGTGGTGGCTGGATTGTGCACCACCGTCGCGGCGCGCGAGCCGCTGTGCGCGCAACCCCATTGCGGCCCTCGTCCCCGCCCCTCCTGCCAGCCCCACCTTGAGCCGTTCGACCTCCTCGGATTGCTGCCGCACGCGCCGCTCGCCGGACGACACCGCACCCTCCAGCTGCGGATTGGAGCGCGGCGGTTTTGGCGGGGCCCAGTGGTGCGCCTCTTGCAGCTGCCGCTGCTGCTGCTCCCCACCACAATTGCAGACAGTACCCTGCTACTGCTTGACAGGGCTGGATTGAGGCCGTTCAGCCCATTTTCTTGCAGCTCCTGACAACAAGGCCACATGCCCAAGCTGGCTCACCGCCACGCGCCCCTACCCCCAGCCCCCCCCCACCTTGGCCACGGTCGCGCAGTACTCCCCC